CACACTAAGCATCTGTTTAAAGAAAAAAAAAGAGAGAGAAGTGATTTAGTTAAAGACTGACATGACACTGAGTTGCTACATGTATGTTAACCTCACCTGCGTTTGTGTTTTTTTTTTATGCAGGGACACGACATGTGACACGGTGCAAAGGTAGGCCTCTCCCCTGACAAAGCAGGTGATGCTAGAATTAAATAAAGTATATACCAGAGGTTTTCAGCTAGTTGTGACCCAGAGACCACTATTCTGACTAAGGGGTGTATAAACCAGATGGCACTATTTTAATCCTGGAAGACATTTAGACCTTTCAACACATTATATATTTGCAATAATTTGATTTTTCACAAGCAATAATTAATACATGAAAATGTGTGTAAATATTAATAAATAAAAAAGTTATTCCTACAGTGAAACTACATTACTGAATGCATGCTCAGGGGCCACATGCTATGCCTTCATGGACCACCAGGGGGCCACAGACCTCCGGTTGAAAACTCTTGATCTATTGTATACCATTATGAAAAGTTGAGAACATTGTTTTTGAGCTGTTATTTTATTCTCATCCTTCATTTGTCCACCTCTCACCATGATTTGTGTGCTTTCCCTCCCCTTTGCACCCCTGTTTTTGTCTTTTTTTTTAACCCCAACTCTTCTTTAAATATCCACACTATGTTACCCAAACTTCCTTCTGTGTTCTTATTCACCCTTACCCTCACCTCATTTCACCACTTCACTTAGTAACTATGCAGATCTATCTGAGCCCCCACACAAGAAAGATTGGGTCTTCTGAGAATACCAAATCCACAGCGGTCGTGCCCTCCAGCAGCAGGCCAGTTGCCACACTTAGCAACCCTCAGGCAAAGGGGGGCAGCAAGTCAGAGACAAGGAAAACAACCCCATCATTCACCTTAAACCTGCAGAAAGCTGCGACCAGCCAGAATTCACTGCAGGACACATCCAGCTACAAGAGCCCTGTCAAATCGCCCAGCCAGTACTTTCAAATTTGTTACTAAGGTAATAGAGGTAGATTCCCTAAACATTTGTCCCT